CATAATATTTCATTGTATGCATTTTGTTACGATGTTGCAGTTGGGCACTTAGGCTATTTATAAATTTTCTTCATTATAATGAATTCTGCAATGAACAGCTTTCTATGTAAACCTAGTGAGTACTGCCTATTATTTCTAAAATAAATCAGAAGAAGCAGTAATGAATTAGCATATATAAATATTCAGGACTTTTTAAACAGGCGATTTTTATAAATTACAGACTGTTTTTAATAAAGGGAGACTACTGTATCTCAGAAGGCTCTTCACAGTGAAATTCCCACGGATGTACTTCCACTCACCCTCAACCCAGCCCGACACATGAGGGGCCACGGCGGGGCCAGCTCAGGGACAGTTGTGTAAGCGTCTCCACAGGGGGCGCCCTTGGAAGCCCGAGAACCAGAGTGTCTGCAGCAGGACGGTGTGAACACTGAAGCTCAAAATCTTTTTCTCAGTCGCACATTGGAAGCCCCAAAGAACCGTCACTCTAATACCCAGATGCGGTTCCGCTAAGTGGCCAGTGGGACAACCCACGCATTTGTGGCTAGAGTTGGTCAGGGTGTCCGAAAATCCCAAGGCTTTTTAATGTAAATTTAGAATTGCTGCATTCTGAGAGGGCTGCCCTCTGCCTGCTGAGGCTCCTGCCCAGGCCTCCGTCCCCGCCCCCTGCCTGCTCTTCTCATAGTTCTCATTTTTCTAAGTCACTTACCTGCTTAGAGCAAGTCGGAGCCATCCAGTGGCTTTTTGAGACGTTTGCCAGCAGACCTGACCCAGGGCGCTGTGACATGCTCCCACAGGACGGATTGCCTTGTGAAGGAGAGCAGTACGGCGAGAAGTCTGTGAGAGAGTCCCTGGGTCAAACAACAGTGAGCGTGAGTCAAAAGGCAGGTGACGGATGACGGAGGGCAGGTGGGACAGGACACGGGAGCCACAGCTGGCTGGCAGGCCCAGGAAGGTGAGGCCCGAGCCAGGTGCTCATGATGACCCCACAGGCCCCGTATGTCCCCAGAGACACAGGGTGACCCCTTCTGCCTACGGCTGTCTTGGTCTCAGTACGAATGTCGTGGCACCTGGGGTGGCTGGGCCACCAGTTCGGAGTCAGCCCTGGCGGTGGAGTGAGGGAAGCACAGCTCCCGCTGATGGGGGGCCCTCTGCCCTGACGTCCTGGCCTCGAGGTGGCCTGCAGAGGACAGTGTGCCCGACGCGAGAGGGAGTGTGGCCGTGTCAGACACTCTGGTCCCATTTCCTGGGAGGGAAGGACGCCCTGCCTGTCCTGGGGGAGAGGCAGGTGGGCGACACAGCAGGCCCTTTCTTACGCAGGACCCCATGCTCCCCTGCTCCCCCGCCTAGGGCTCCCCCAAGACGCTGTGAAGAAAGGAGAAACATGGCTTCCCATCTCCTGGGGCACTGGTGTGCGCATGTCCTCCAGGCAACTGTGTCCACGGGAAGTGGCCCCAAGCGCCTGGGACCCCAGGATACCACACATCAGATGTGTCTAAACTGCACCACAGGTCGGTGGGTCCAAACATGGCTTCCCACCCATTGTTTTATATCATGGGCCGCGGCTGTGGGTTTGGTGTTTACAGCTCACCGGTCAGCGTGTGACATGAACCTATCAGAGGGCTCCTGCCCCCTTGAGGACTTACGAGGACTCATACACAGTGGCGCTGTGTCTTAGTGAGCACAGTAAGCGGAGAGAAAGTCAGTGCAGGTCACGGCAGGTCTCCAGCTCGCAGGCTGCCTCGCACTCAGCTCCTGTTCCCTCTGGGGGGCACAATGCCATTCTGGCCTCAGGTTTTCCTTCCAAACTGCTAACAAAACATTCGGCAAATAATAAAAGAATAAGCAGCCACCCACAGAGAGGTGGCAGTGTGTGGACGGGAGAGTCAGCAGGTGACAGACACATCTACACGATTCCAGGTACAGAGTCCTCCAAACGACATTTGTGACATTGTTCAAGGAGGAAAAAGACCAAAATGCAAGATTAAAAATCGCAGCAGAGAATTAAAAATTACAAAAATGGAAATTCCAAGACTGGAAAAAAAATTTGAAACTCAGTGACAGGGTTTAACAATGGTTTAGACATAGCTGAAAAAAAGAAACGATGAACTGGAAAACGTTTCAGAAGGAAATATGCAAAGTGAGTCACAGAAGCACAGGAGGGGGGGCGACGCGGGGGCGACGCGGGGGCTCGGGGGAAATGCAACCCAGGCCTCATTCTGGAAGGAAAGAGGAGAGGTGAGCGAGTATGGAGGAGAGTGGGCGGACAATTTCTAAATCCAGCAAACGTCACCCTGGCCGTCACCCATGTCATGCCCCACTCTGTGGGGCCACGATCCCGGCACTGGTGACAAATCCCAGCTGTCTGGTAGGAAAACGAAGAGTTAGAATCTTCTGTGATCTGTCCTCACTTTCACCGTTAATAATTGCTATGGACTGAGCGTTGTATCCCCCGCAAACTCCCATGTTGAACCCCAGTCCCAACGTGATGGTGTTGGGGGTGGGTCCCATGGGGCTGATCAGGGCAAGAGGGACGGAACCCCACGGTGTGATCAGCGCCCTTATGTTATAGAAGGGACCCCACAGAGCTCCTGCCCTGTGAGGACTCAGCGAGACGACGGCCGTCTGTGACCCAGAAAAGCCTTCACCAGAACCCAACCCTGCAGGCGCCCTGACCTTGACCTCCGGCCTCCCGAACTGTGAGTGACGAACGCCTGCTGTTTATAAGCCGCCCATGTGTGGTGGTCGGTCATAGTTGCCCAGACGACCTGGGACAATCCTTTAAAGAGTAGGCTTTTTTGGGAGCAAGACACCACAGTGCCTACGTGTGGTTGGGACCCCTGCTGCACCTCACATTCGCTGGAAGCGGGGTTTCTAGTGACACCCTGTGCCTGTAGCCGGGGCCGGCGGGGTCGTCGCATGTCACTTACAGCTTGTCCCTGCTCTTTGGTTGGCGTAGATGGTGTCTGAGTAATTGTGGTGACAGAAGACACCCATGTTTGACTCTAAGTGGGCATGGGTGCCCTTGTATGTGACATGGGGG